CTGTGAGTTTGAAGGATCAGGTGGAAAATGAGTAACTAAGGCCTGTCTGAAAGCTAAACCACCTGAGCAGCTTTTCAGCTTTTTTTCAAGGTCCATCAGCAAGGTCGTAGTTGTGAACTGCTCTCAAGTCCAGAACAATTCCTAGCGACCCTGTGACCAACAGGTCTGAACCCTGCCGTGTGTGTCTTGTCCCCGCCCTGTGTGTCCTGTCGGCATCATCTCTGACACCCTTGAGCCCATTGCTGCAAGCACTCTCATTCTGTGTCTTTGAGAGTCTGCCTTTCTTTTTCTGATCCTCTTCCTAGCCAAGCATGATGTTGCTTTCCAGGGAATAGCCTCTCCTAGCCAATGCCCACAATATGTGAGGTGAAGCTTGAGCAGCTTTGCCTCTAAGGAGAACTCTTGGTGCACTTTTCCCAAGACTTACCTGTTTGTTCTGTTGGCAGTCCACGAGATATTCAGTACTCTTCTCAAGCATGGCAACTCAAAGGCATCAAATCTTCTTCTGTCATCCTTAGTCATTGTCTACCACTCAGATTCATAGCAAGAGTGATGGGAAAGACCATAGTCTGAATCAAGCACACCGTCATCTTCAAACTGACAACATTTTTCCTCAATAATTTGGAGAGGTCCCTGACAGCAGACTTTCCCCCTGCAATCCATTTCCTGATCTCCTGACTGCTTATACCCGGGGTGTTGATTGTGGATCCAGGTAAGATGAAATCATTGACAACTTCACTCATAACGTTGCTTATCATCCAGTGGAGAGGGTTTTTGTCTTCTTGATGTTGAGATGCAGTCCCGTATTGAAGGCTGTAGTCTTTGATCTTCTGCAGCAAGCATTTCAAGTCCTCTCTTTCAGTAAGCAGGGTTGTTTTATCTGAATATTGTAGGTTGTTCATGGGTCTTCCTCCTGTCCTGATGCCACATTCTTTTTCATAGAGTCCAGTGTCTCAAATGATTTGAATGATCCGCGTACAGATTGAATAGACAGGGAGAGAACATACAACCGTGGCACACACCTTTTTTAATTTTAAACCATGCAGCGTACTCTTGCTCTGCTTGCACAACTTCTTCGTCTAGGTGTAGGTTTCCTAGGTGAACATAATTAAGTGTTCTGAGATTCCCACTCTTCTCCATGTTAGCCATAGTTTGTTATGATCCACATAGTCAAATACCTTTGCATAGTCAATGAAATACAAATGAACATTCTTCTGGTATTTTCTGCTTTCAGCCAGGATCTATCTGACATCAGCAATGATATCCCTTATGCCATGGCATTTTCTAAACCCACCTTGAACTTCTGGCCATTCTCTATATAAGTGTCCTGTTCTAACCATCGTTAGGTAAACTTCAGCAGTATTTTGCTTGCATGTGATGTTAATGTTCTATAATACTATTGTATAATTTTCACATTCTGTGGTATAACCTTTCCTGGGGCTGGAAACAGATATGGACCTCTTCCATTCAGATAGCCAAGTAGCTAGCTGCCTTCCAAATTTCCTGGCACGGATTGTTGAGCACATCCAGGCCTGTGTCTGTTAGTTGAAACATGTCATGATTATTTCATCGATTCCTGGGGCCTTACTTTGTTTAAAAAAAAATATTACTTTATAGTGGTTAACTTACAAGGTTTGTATACCTTGCTTTTCATACCAGATCTTTCCCATTTCCTTAACCCATCCCTCCCACACCCATCACATTGTGTGACCCTGTGATGACCCCCTTGCCCATCCTCACCCCTCTGCTCCCACACTTCTCCCCTTAGATCCTCATCCACGTTTTACTAGTTTTCATTTCTATAATAATGGTCTGTTCAGTATTTGTCCGCATGTGACTGAATGGAGCTCAGCATTATGCTCTCCAGTCTCTTCCAAGTTGGGTAGTGATTTAGAAAACCATTATTCCTGCGTGCTGCATCGGATTCCATTGTGTGAATGTACCATGATTTCTCAATGCATTCTGTTGTGGTTGGACATTACTCCCTCTCTGGAAGGCAGTTTGGCGTTTTCTCAGGAAGCTCAATGTAGAAATTCCTTAGGCCTTATTTTTTGCCAGTGCCTTCAGTGCAGCTTGAACTTTTGCCGTCATTACTATTGGCTCTTATTCATGTGATGCTTCCTTAAATTTTTCAGTGTCAACAAAATCTTTTTGGTACAGTGACTGTGTATCCGTTCCTTTTTCTTCTGATGCTTCTGCAAGATAGAACTGTTCATTATTAGGGTCCCTCTGGCAGCTTTTAACTTGAGTTTTGCCCATTTTAATCTGGCCACATTTGTACATTGAGTAAAGCTTTTAACTGTAGTCTGTCTTGTGGTTGTGCAACATATATGATGTGTGAAATCAGATGAAAAGTTTTGCATGTAGGTGCACTGTCTTAAAGGGAGAAGTGCTGGTTTCCAGTTGGTAGTAGAAGTGTTAGATCATCAAAATGCATTTGTGTTAAGGGCTTGGCTCTTTTTTTGCATTTATGCCAAATGGTTTGGGTGAAAGCTGTGGCCACAACGGAGGCTTTTGACCTATAAAATTACTTTTCAGAAAATGTATATAGATTAACAAGACCTATCATTTGTACACAATGCCGCTGTTAGAAATGGTTTGGGTTTTTGGTTTTGGTTTTGTTTTTTTTTTAAAGATGCAGGTTGGTTTGTTTTTAAAATTCATGAAATATTTCTTTATTACTTAAGTATCTCTAAATCTTATCTTACTTCTGATTTTGTTGAATTAATCTTACCTTATTTCCTGTGGACGTTTGTAGTGTCCTTTTCTTGATCTGCTTGTCCTTATTAACTAATCGATAGGAACACGAGATTGGCCTTGGCTCCTCTGCCCTCCCATGAAGCACCCAGTATGCATTCCATACAGAGTGAGTCTCAGTGCAGAGCTGGGAATCTTTAGAAGACTTCCTGGAGAATTTTGCTTCCTAATGAGCAAGAGCCTATGGTGATGAAGGAAGAAGTTCAAGCTGCTTTGAAGGAAAT